TGACACCAATATTCGATATATAAAAATTAAAATTATTTTTAAAATACAATGAGTAGATGTTTAAAGGTTACAAACTTTTTTAGGTAGATCTATGTTCTAAAATTAAGATCTAGGAATTTTTTAGAGCACATTTGATCACGTTGAAATTCACTGAATCGGCTATTTAGGTTGAAATTTGTGAAATTCTGATTGAAGTGGCTGGACTGGCTGACTGAAATTTCGTAGATCTATGAAAAATTATATCTACAATAATATTTATTAATATCATATTTTCTGATTTGATTATATTTTTATGTATTTAATATTGGTGTCATATGAAAGGTAATACTCCGTAAAAATATGAATTTTGATATTCTTTTATAAAAATGAAATTATAAATAAAAAATTATAACAATTTAAAAAATATAATATTGGTGTGATATGAAAGATAATAACTCCTTAAAAAAAGATAATGACTATTTTTCATATAATTTTTTATTTATCTTATTAATAAAAATTATTGTAGATATAATTTTTCATAGATCTACGAAATTTCAGTCGGCCAGTCCATCCACTTCAATCAAAATTTCAACAAATTTCAGTCAGCCAGTCCATCCTAGATCTTAATTTTAGAACATAGATCTACTTAAAAAAGTTGGTAGCCTAAAAACATCTACTCATTGTATTTTAAAAATTATTTTAATTTTTATATATCGAATATTGGTGTCATATGAAAGACAATAAAAATTTATAAATTTTGATATAACTTTTATGAAAATCAGATTATGAATATAAAAATTACAACAATTTTAAAAAAAGAGGGATTTTTAAATATTGGATGAGTTCCTATTGGCTACCATCTCCATACTCCGTATGTACGTAGCTTTCTTCTTGCGCGAGTGACCAGCGGAAGCCAAAGTCGCCAAATGGTTTGGCGACTTATAAGTCGCCAAACGGTTTGGCGACTTTGCCCAACTCAGGTTAATCCCAGCAGTATATTGGTAAATAGTTTTAACCCAACATTAATTCCGTAAATACTTAATTAAAATGCATTAATCTGGAAAAAAACTCCTCTTACGCAGGAGCTTGAGAACTTCGTATATATTTCGTATATATACGTGGTACTACCTTGGTCCAATTTTATGTGTCTTAGTTTGACTTGACACGGTTATTAATGAAGTGGTTGAGGAAGTAAAAGTTGTGATTGAGGTTTGAGTATGATAAAGTAAGTGGTGTAGGCCACATATTTCTTTTCAAAAAAGAAAAGAAGACACTTATTTTGGAACAACCAAAAAAGGAAAGTAGGATATGTAAAATGGACGGACGGTGTAATATATATATGTACTGTATAGGATACGAAACAAAAAGAAAAATGCAAAAAAGTAAATGAAAAAAAGAAACCACGTTCAAATCAACTAGTAACCTGCAATAGACAGTTGCCGGCCGGTGGCCCGACCCAAATAATCACTTTTTAATACTTCCTCCGTTCCATTTTAATTGCAACAGTCAACATTTCACGTTTGCAACACACAAGTTTGACCATTAATATTTTTCATTCCTTATTAGTAAAAAAATTAAACTGAGAAGAATTTAACAATATTTTTTAAAAATTTAATTTATTAGGAATTTTATCAATCCTGGACCTGAAAGATACACAAACTATCAATCTGGGACCTGAAAGATGAAATGTATCGATATAAGACCCGAATGATGGAAAACTATCAATCTAGGACCCGAATGATTAAAAATTATCGATATGGGACCTAAATTTTCATAAATTTATTATTTTTTTTTATTTTAAAAAAATTAAATATTATTTAGTTTTATTAACCTAAAAAACTTTTGTAAAGAAAAAATCATCAAATATTAGCAATGGAATTAATAAAAAATTAAATAAATCAAAATCTATAAAATGTTAGGTCCTAGATTGATAAGTTTCCATCATTCGGGTCCTATACCGATAAGTTTCATATTTCAGGTTCCGGATTGATAATTCATGTATCTTTCGGGTCCCGAATTGATAAAATGTGATTGAAGGATTTTAAGTAGAGTACTTAATTAACTATGTTGACACAATAAGAGGATTTTTTTTTAATACTTTTCTAATTAGTTAATTTACTCCGTATGTCCTAGCTGAATTTCTCCCCTGCTCTACTAGGTGCGGCGTGCCGCAACCGCCACGTTTAGTATTCGAATCATTGGAGTGCATTTGGGTCACTGAATACGTAATGGTAGTATGCATTAGCTAGGAAATCTCCTGCCAAATTCTGAATATATAAGAGGAAATTAAGTCGCGTGATATATATATATATATATATAAAAACATCAATATATATTACAAAATTTAAATTATTTGAATCTCGTCCGCACGGGCTGACTCTTACCACGTACGTACTTGGCTTGATTTGATCCCATAATGAGGATGAAAGGGTGGTGTATGTGTTTAGTTGTGTCCAGTCCTGTCATAATTTTTTTTCTTCTTCTTGGGCTTGGTTTCTCGTTCGGAATCAAGGAGTCGTCGTCCTCCGACCCGGTGAAACCGGTTTACCACGTCGTGAATGCGACCATGGCAAACATCGCTTATAGAGGCGACCGCCTCACCGCCGACTTCAGCTTCACCCTCTCAGCCCTCAACTCCAACAAAAACAAAACCGTAGACTTCACCAACTCCACGCAAGCAACGGCACTCTATTTCGAAACGGCGGCGGTGGTTGCGTCGTCCACCGCGTTGCCCGTCCCGTCCCCGCTGCCTCCCCGGAGCTCCGACAATCTCTTCACCTTCGGTCTTCACGCACAAGACGCGCCTGTTGACGCCCGCAACTCGGAGTTCTTCAAGACAGGGCTTGAAAGAGGACGTAGCATCTTCGCGCAATTAGAGGTGAAGTTAATGGCCAGGTTGCGTGAGAACTCGACGTACGGCCTTCTTCTGGTGCAATGCCGCGGTCTCAAGTACTCTTCCCGGGGTTTTGATGTCAAGGGCCACTGGTGCAACTCTTATTAGGGGGACTCATAGACTTAAGCTTGACGTCACTAAGCGAGTGTTTGCAACTGCTTCTGCTTAAAAAAAAGCACTTTTGGAGATGTAAGGAAAAAGTGATTAGTAATAAAAGTCGATAGTGTTTGAGAAAAAAGTGATTTTGAAAAGTAAAAGTTGGTAGTGTTTAGTAAAATAAGTGCTTTTTGTGTAATAGAAAAGGGAAAAGCACTTTTCACACGCAAGCCGAGAAAAAGTAAAAATTGGTAGTGTTTGGTAAATAAGTGCTTTTTAAAGCCAAAAGTTGAGAAGTGCTTTTTTGTAAGCAGTTGCAAACACTCCCTAATTAGGATATGATGGGTAATTAATTTCTCCGGCATGCAAGTAGTTCGGTTCTCGAGTTCTATACTTCAACTAATTAAGCTTACTGGCTAATGTATTTCCAAAAATCCTCAATTGTTCGAGGAATTATGTCTTTCGAAGTAGACTGAGCTATTGTACGTTTACATGTAATTAATCGATCTAGTCTTCATACATTTCAGATTTTCAGATACTTAGGTCTTCAAAAGTTGAGTATACCCATTATATTAAGGAAGTGGATGTACCAAATCTTACACTGACTACAGTACAAATGAGAGGTGATAATTAATTGCATCTTGTTTTTTTCGAAACGAAAATAATTATATTGCATCTTGTATAATATGGTACATTGTTTTTAGGTTTTTACTTATTTTTTTGTCTCAGATATAGAGTCCGATTTTGTTCACCCCCAAGGAGTTTGAACATCACCCTCATCATACAATTTATGCTATTTGACACTCCAATTATCTTTTTTCTTAAAATTGAATAAAAAATGAAAAAGTTATAAGAATTGCAAAAGTTTAAATAATTGTCATGCCATGTGGCAGCCCAATAGGCCGGGTGGGGTGATGTTCACCCTCTTTTGAGAGGTGAACAAAATTGTTCTCTTAGATACTTCCTCCGTTCTTTTTTAAATGCAATAGTCCACTTTTCATGTTTGACAACGCACAAGTTTGACCATTAATATCTTTCATTCCTTATTAGTAAAAAAATTATAAAAATATGGCAATTGTTAGAGATATACTACCTCCATTCCGGCTTAAGATTTTCTATAAAAAAAATGACATGGTTAATTAGATAATAATTAAATAAGATTATTCGAGTATCTTTTGAGAAATTGTTTTGATCGATAAAAAATATAATGGTGATAATTGTGATGTTATAGGTGTTTTTTAATACTTCATGGTTAAGTCGTGACCTAATTAAGAGTGCTAATTATATTATTTACTAAAATAAATATTGAAAGCTTTAGCTGAGATGTCTAAAATGACAAGTGAGAAGCTTAAGCTAAGAAATACATAGTATGAGGTATTAATTGATACTCCCTCTTCCACAAATCCACAATAGTTTATACTCTGTACTAATTATTTAATGATAATTCTGATGTCTATTAAAATGACTACTTTATCCATTATTTTTTAATATCACTTTTTATTATGCTTTATAATTTATAGATATGTTTCATATCATCAGGGGGTTAAAATATTTATTTTATAATAGGTGTGGTACAAATAAAAAGGATCTTTAACGGGATTAATAGGGGTCAAATTTTCACTACTACATTTTTTCAGGATTAATTTTTTACTAAATGGCCACTTTTGTCAGGGATTAATTTTTTGGTAGATTCTATGGTACTCAAAATGTACCATAACTTTATCCACTTGGACCAATTAGAATGTTGTAGTTGAATTATTTAAATTTAAATTAAAAATGATTTAATGATTTAGACCAATCATGTGAGTGGTAGGTATGGTAACCCATTTTTAAAATGGGTACCGGTGTTGTCACCTAATTTTTTTCCCTTCTTTACTAAATGTGCCGCAACGCTACTGCCACGTTGAATTTATGAACTGTTGGAATGCTTTTTAATGAGGTCATTGAGTGCGTAAATAGAGAGTACCATGCATTAGCTGGAAAATCTCGCTGCCAAATTGTGACTATATAAGAGGAAAATCGCGTGATAATTAATGACAAACATCAATATTAGTTTGATGAGAAATGATCCTAAATAAGACCAAAATTGCACCGATATACACTGAATAGGACCGATTACTTTTAAACTCCTAAATAAGAGTATATTTTCCGTATCTTCCACTTTTGACCCCTGCACTTATATCACCGTGTCTTGTACTCTTGTCTTAATTTCTCTATTACATACCTGCGGACAAACTGCAAGGCCCAACGAACTCCGATCAACCTCTCCAATAAGCAATACCCCCATAGATCCATAAGAAGATGGGCATTTTGGTGCAAATCGGGAAGAAGATGGCAGCGGCGCACAGTGACTTAGAGACGTTGTACAGCGTCAGCGACGGTGAACGGCGTCAGCGCCGATAGACGGCGGCACGACGTCAGTGTTATCGGTGGACGGCGGCAGAAATCCCTCCCCCTCTTACTCCTCTTTTCCTTCTCTTCCACCTTGTTCTTCTCTTCTCCTACTCTATTCCGTCGATCCGGTTCCTTCTTTATCTGATATGATCCGGTTTTGTGGCTTGCCCCATCCTTTCTCTCGCTTCTACTTCCTGCTATTTTTTTCTTCCATAGTGTTTGCTTGTTCACTGTTCATTTATTTGGCATCAATTTATTCGCTGCTCTTGTTTTGCCTTTTGCCTGGCTGCTTGATTTTCTAATGTTTTTGCTTTATTTCTTTCGTATATACTATCCTCCGTTTCTTGTTAATCGCAACATGTTGAATTTTACACTATTCACGTGTTCTATTTTGACTACATTTTACGGAATTATTTTACGAAAATTATTTTTCAAAAAAGATATTGTTCAATTCATCTCATTACAAATTTTCAAAATCTGATTTTTAATTATTTTTAACTAATAGATATTAAGATATAATTACGGTCAAAGATGTGTGTTGGCAAGTGTGAAATGTTGACCGTTGCAACTAAAAAAGAACGGAGGAAGTATGTTTTTATTTTCGCAGATCTTACTCATTGTTTTTTTGCCTTTTTTGGAGCTAGTTTGTTTTGATTTGTTGTTTTCTTTTCAAATTTATTATTCAAATACTCCGTACTACGTATTATTTATTTTTTCCTTTCCAAATTTTTCTACAGGAAGCATAGTTGGAGTATTACAACTGCAGAGTGGGCTTGGAAGTTGGAAGTACTCTGAGAGTCCTCATAGTGCTTTACAGTCTCTTGGATTTGGTGCCATTTATTGTTGGATGTTTGGGCATGGAATTAGAAGCCAGCACCGGATGTACAAGCTTAAGATTATTCATTTTTTTCTCTTGGGTTCCATGATGTGGTTTTGGAAGTTTCTGATGCTGTAAAGTTGATTTGAATTTCTAATGTGTGAACTAGAATGCTGCTAATATGTGTTTTTTTGTTTTGGAAGTGTCAATAAAATAGACAATGTTATTTTATATTTTGAATAATGGCTGTTTTCTTGACATTGCCAATGACAATGTCAATAGAATAGACAATGCCACATTCTTACTAATGACAATGTTATAAATTGTGTTAACATTGTCGTATTATTCATTTTTTTTACTTTATGTCTTATTTTTTCATTCAAACAATGATATCATTACATTGTCAAATACTCCTTATGACATTGTATATTACATTCTCATATATGACATCATTTATTATATTTTCATATAATGTCATTGTATATTACGATGTCATACAGTAACATTGTAATACTTTGGCACCATGAATGTTATGTCATTTTTATGACATTGACATCGACATAGTTGGATGTTTGGGCATGGAATTAGAAGCCAGCACCGGATGTACAAGCTTAAGATTATTCATTTTTTTCTCTTGGGTTCCATGATGTGGTTTTGGAAGTTTTTGATGCTGTAAAGTTGATTTGAATTTCTAATGTGTCAACTAGAATGCTGCTAATATGTGTGTTTTTGTTTTGGAAGTGTCAATAAAATAGACAATGTTATTTTATATTTTGAATAATGGCTGTTTTCTTGACATTGCCCATGACAATGTCAATAGAATAGACAATGCCACATTCTTACTAATGACAATGTTATAAATTGTGTTAACATTGTCGTATTATTCATTTTTTTTACTTTATGTCTTATTTTTTCATTCAAACAATGATATCATTACATTGTAAAATACTCCTTATGACATTGTATATTACATTCTCATATATGACATCATTTATTATATTTTCATATAATGTCATTGTATATTACGATGTCATACAGTAACATTGTAATACTTTGGCACCATGAATGTTATGTCATTTTTATGACATTGACATCGACATTGTATGTCATTTGTATAGTGTTTACAATGTCATTGGCATGACATTGATTTCATAGAATATAATGTCATGAAAATGTCATAATTTTATGAGAAAGTAGTGATTATACTATTTCTCCATGTCAACGTCATTAGCATAATTGTGCACCATTGACATTATTGTGCCATTGTCATTGCTACGCCACTAATATCATTAAACAATGACATTGCTTTTTAAACAATGACATTACTTTTTGAACAATGATATTGGCTTTAAACAATGACATTGATTTTTAAATAATGACATTAATTAAATTACATTGTGACATCATTTTTATAGCATTGAGATTGACATTGTCATTATTTTGGCACTTTTAATAACATTGTCTATTGTGACATTTTTTTGGCATTGTGCTACTTTTCCGACATTGTGACATTTTTCTTATATTTTAACAATGTTCACAATATTGTAATATTATTTATTTTGGAAATGCTTATAATAAAAAAGAATAATATTTATAATAACACTATTTGACATTAAATTGTAATATTGTCTTACTACATTGTGACATTGTGATATTGACATTGTAATTGTAATATGAATATGACAATGACTAAGAAATACTTTCCAAATTTTATTTTTACTTATTAAGAAAATTAATTTGAAAAACTAATACCTGTACTTCATATATCTACAAAATAAACACTAGTGGCAGCACAAGTCAATGAAAGAGTATAAACTGAAAAGAAACACATCAATAAAATACGGAGTAGAAGAAATTGAAAATTAAAACAAAAAAATCAATAATTAAAAAATTGAAAATTAAAATAGCAACAAAAAGCTACGCATAGCAGCAAGTCGATAAAAGAGGGGAGCATATAGAAGTAGAAGAGTGTATAGAATGGCAGCTATTGAATCCTTTTTTCATGGTATAGACCTGCGTTGGACAAGGAATGACAACCTCAAATAAGATCACGGTGGCCTGTACCCTAACTAGATTTTGGAGGTCCAAATCTCAAACTCAGATTTGGCTATGAATCAAACCAGTTGCGTTGAAATTGGATCAAATAGATTCTCAGATTTATTTGGCAATGATCGAATCAAACCAGTTTGCTTGAAATTGGATCAGATTGATTCATCTGGAATGTTGCTCTCAAGTTTGAATGCAATGTAGTTTCTGAGCTCGAATATTTATTTGTAAGATGAGGTTTGACAGAGGCAAAGGCTTTCCGCCATAAATAGCCGAGGACGCTCGGACGTTAAGATTGATCGACGATCTAGACGAAGAGGAGGATGAATCTAGTCGGCGGCCACTTTAGTGATGGCTCGCGCCGGCAAAGGCGTAATTGCCAACGATGTGAATCGATTGCTGCATATGATGCGCTGGATTTGTAGCAGCCGTATTGTGTAAGGGTATTTTTGTCCTATTAGTCCTATTTAGGGTTAAAAAAGTATGAGGTCCTATTTACTTACGGGGCTTTTGTTTAAGTCCTATCTAAGTCTATTTCCCTAGTTTGATTTGATCGCATGATGGCGAGCAATATTAGTTTGGGGTGTATTTGCTGTTGTGTGATACTTGTTCTTATAGTTGTTGGGATCTCTCTTTTGGCCGGTTACATAGACTTGTTGTCCGACGACGACCCCGTGAAACCGCAGTACCGCGTCGTGAACGCGACCACGTCAAACATCGCTTTTAAAGATGACCGGCTCACCGCCGACTTCAACTTCACCCTCTCAGCCCTCAACTCCAACAAAAACAACTCCGTGGACTTCACCAACTCCACGGAAGAAACGACACTCTATTTCGATACGGCGGTGGTTGCGTCGTCCATGGCATTGCCCGTCCCATCATCGCTGCCTCCCGGGAGCTTCGGCAATCTATTCACCTTCAGTCGCCCGCTACTCCGGATTCGCGCGCTTAGAGGTGAATTTAATGGCCAGGTTGGATGAAAACTCAACGTACAACCGTCTTAAGGTGAAATGCATTCGTCTCAAGTACTCTACTTCCTAAGGTTTTGAGATCAACAAGGACAATAGGTGCTTCTGATCTCTTACTATGGGGACTAGGTTGATTTGGTTGCCCGTATATATGTTACAGTTCTTTTGGTGTGCCTTCCCATACATTATATTTGTGGTTTACAAAAACATCGATCTCCAATTCTAACTTCTAGGCTTTCATTATTGAAAAATATTGCGACACATGTCACAAAATAAAATAATGAATGGAGTGTCAAACCACTAAAACATTCACCCTCAAGCCGTACGCACAAATAGGAAACAAACTGAAATATAAGATGTAAAATGTAATTTCATTCGAAGAACTTAATCGGCGCCAACTGTCGCGCCCTTGGCCTCACACCCCGATATCGCCCAACTGGTGTTACCATCGTCCACCATCATCCTCTGCTGTTGGTGACACCCAACTCACGCTGCCACCACTACCATCAAATTGGAAGATTTAATTTAATCTGCCGGAAATTGGCAGACTTAATTTGGAAGCTTATCACAAATGTGTCACAAATGTGTAGTCACAAATGTGGCAAAAACATGAAGTCAACTAAAGAGGTTGACACATTTCTGTCATAAATTCGGAAATTATGAAAGTGGAAAACAGAAATACGAAATAGAAGTCCAAAAATAGGCAAAATCAATATCAACACCCAAGAAAAAACAGAGGAATAGAAGCAAAATAATGAGGTGTTTGGATCTGATTCTCAAAACTGATTCTGTTCTTTCAGGGAGCAGAAGCTGGAGTGTTTGAGTGAAATTACAGAAGCACTTTTGGTGCTCTAATTTACTCTCAGAATCAGTTTTTTTAGAAGCTGAGGGTACCAGCTTCTGAAAACTGATTCTGATTCTGCTTCTGTTTTAAAAAAGAAGCAGAAGCACAATCAGTTCCAAACACCCCTAAGAAGAAGAAGAGAGAAGCCCATTAGTTGCGGAAGGGAGAAGCATCTATCGTGTGCAAGACAACGGCGTGAGAGAGCCGACGGCGGCTCTAGTGCATAGGACGGAAAATCTGGTGTACAACGTAGAAGTCAATAGATCTAGTAGTCGGGTACGGGAAAGAAATCCGTATACTACAAATTAAGTGTTGTTTTAAACCTATATTGGGCAATTACTTAATACATAGTAAAATATAAGTAATCTTTTGATGCATTTTGTTCATCCTAATTAGAGCAGTTTCTTTACTAGAAAAGTGAATACATCGATTAAACACACGAGTGAATTACCTTACCACAAAAGTGAATAGATAAAACACACGCATGAATTACTTCACCAGATATGCTGACCCAGAAGCAGACCTAGAAGCACACGCATAAACAATACGCTAGTAGTCCCTTTCTCCCTTAAAATTTGATCGATCAACATAGAGAATAATAAGAAAAATAAAAACTGTATGTATGAGGTTATGCAAAGAAGATTAAGAGGAATAACAAATTCTTTGATCAAAAGGAAAATTCATTAATTCTTTAACCAAAAAAATTAAAATTGACAAACAAATTAAATATTGATCCTACACTCCTACAGTACATCTACACGTACTATATTCTACTCTATATACATGAATGTAATCGATGGCATTAATGTGATGGAAATCTAACAAAAACTTCGCAACAGTGAAATGATAAATTTCAGGGCCGTCTAATGAATTTGGAGGCCCCGGTTCCAAATGACAAATTGAGGTCCTTAAGACAAGAAAAAAATACAAATTTTGACAATGAAGCACAAATAGTTTAGACAATTCAATGAAATATAAATTTTATGATGTTTAAAGTGCATAAATTAGAGAATTTAAAGGTTATATGCCTTCTAGAATCTTGAATAATACATGACATCTTAGAAAAATCAACCTTCAACTAACACTACCCTCTCAATTTTTGGAGGCCCTCTACTAGAGTAGGCCCCGGTGCGAAGCACCTATTGCACCTCCTAAAAGACGGCCCTGATAAATTACGTAGTATTACCTCTGTCCCATATGGGTTGTCCACTTTCAAGTTGGGATTTGAGTAGAATAAAGTGAAATGATAAGAACCTCATATTTCTTGCTATAAAAGGAAAGAAAACATTCATTTTGGGACAACCCAAAAGGAAAGCAGGACAATCAAAATGGGACGGAGGGAGTAGTATATACTAGTGTTGGACCCGGGCCGGGTCGGGCCCGGGCCGGGTCAAGGCCCGGTCGGGCCTCGGGTCTTATAATGGTAGGCCCGGGACCGGCCCGGTCAATGACCGGTTCCGGTTCGGGCCGGGCC